TCTCGAGTTTCATTTTATTGTGAATGAAACAGGCCAGGATTAAGTGCCTACTATGTACAGGACTCCAGGCATTATGGGAAATCTCAATGACAAGGTCAACTAGGTCAACTAGGCTTGATTCAAGGTGACTGAGTTTGGACATATTTGAAATATTTTCAAAATGAAGATATATTTCACAGTAAGCCATCTATTTGCTAAATGTATGAAAATTAAATATTTTGTGCAAAAAAAAAAAAAGTATTCTGAAGAGAGGTGTGGAGGAGTCAAAAGACTGCTGATCTCAGAAACTGAGTTTTAGCCCTCACTTTGTCACCAATTAGCTACTCAGTTTGTGTTTTTATATGTGGAAAATGAGCCGTTGGCCTCCTTAGAGTCACTTAAAATATATAATACCTTGGTATAGCCCCTGGGTGGTGCAGATAGTTAAGCGCTTGACCAGAAGTTGAAAGATTAGTAATTTGAACACATCCAGGAGTGTCTCAGGAGACAGGCCAGACAATCTGTTTCAGAAAGGTCACAACCTTAAAACTCCTACTCTGCACAGATGCGGTCACCATGAATCAGAATTGACTTGATGGCAACTGGTTTGTTTTATTTTGTTTGGTTTTGGCATAACCACAATGACAGGTATATATGTTTACATGCATACATTTTTTTACACAATGCATTTGTCTGATTATTAACTCAGATTCTAAGCTCTACTTATATTACCTATATCAGCCAGTGCAGGAAGGAACAAACTCTGAAAAGTGTAGAAATAACTTTGAGTTGATTCTTCTCTAGGGGGCAAGGAGGTGATTTCTAATACAATTACTAAAAAAAAAGCTGTGAATTTATGCAAAAAGTGTGAAAAGAAGGCTATGATTTACCTTGTGCTGTAATAATGCTACTCTGGATATATTCAAATAGTGGAATTTCTAGTTGGCTTTAATGGCTCTAAATTGTTGCTTTCCACTCGTTTTCTAAAATTTAAGCCAGTGATGTGCCAGGAGGTAAACTAAAGAAACTAAACATTCAATCTAAGCATCTGGCACATGCAGTATGTATAGCCTGCAATACAGTTCCAATCTGCATATACCATCAGACAAAGACTCTTTAAATAAATACATTCTTGACAACTGTTTATAGATAATTCTTCTAATCTCCAGCTATTCAAAAGCAGGACTCATTCTTTTTTGTCCTTCAGTTCAATGACCCCATCATTAATCTTCTCTAATGCCTCTCACAAATGAGCAATGTTTCTTTCCCACAACTGTTAACTGACTGAAGGCCTCCTTTTCCATAGCAAAGTATCAGGTGTCTCAAAGCACCATAGAACACACTACAGAGGAAATGTCTGTTGTCCATGGACATTATCCACTTCAGTTAAATAATATCATCTGATTTGAGAAGAGGGAGCCACCTTGACTCACCATTTTCCACTCTTTGCCTGTGTAGACCAAAATGAGGAGGTGACTAACTACAGTGGAAGATTTTGCACTTTTCCAGCTAGCTGATAGAAAACCTCCACAAAAAGACTGAGAAACACAGCACAATGTCATCTGTGGAATTGACTTTACTTACCAAGTAAGAAAAGATCTGAGTCAATTAGTGAGCAAAACAATGGGAAAAATAAATATCTTCACATATTTTTATTCCTCCTAAGATGTTTCCATGGAAGGAAGATTGGGCAATCTACTTCCATAGTGATACCGCCTCGGAAACCCAAGGAGGGGTCGCTATGAGTTGGGTCCGACTCGACAGCACATAACAAACAAAAATGTTTTCACAATATCAAAAGAAAAATGACCTATACATATATTTCAGAAGAGAATGCCTGTTTGCAATTCACTGTTTTAATTACTAAACAAGGATGCTTTGTGTATTAGAAATGATTCAGAACTAAGAGTGCTGGGCAGATAAAAATACACAGAATCACTGCCACCGAAAAAAAACTAAGTGTAATATCTTTCATGATCAAGGCTTCACCTGCTTCATTCTACCACAAATTTACCAGAAGGCTGGCGGTTCAAACCCACCAGCCACTCCTCGGAAGGAAGATGTGGCAACCTACGTCCGTAGTGATACTGCCTCAGAAATCCAAGGAGGGGCCGTTATGAGTCGGGTCAGACTCAACAGCACATAACAACAAGGTGTATATATATATATATCCATATATATATATATATATATATATAT